TCAACAAGAAGTCGAAAATATCACTTTTTACCAAAAATGATAAAAATATTCACCAAAATTAGAGAATTAAAGATATCATTACAAAATGAACAAATCTGAGAGAGGTCCACATGTAGTACCTATATATGTAATATCAAAGCAATTACACTTGCGGTTTTTAACAAGAAGTAGAAAATATCACTTTTTACCAAAAATGACAAAAATATTCACCAAAATTAGAGAATTGAAGATATCATTACAAAATGAACAAATCTGAGAGAGGTCCACATGTAGTACCTATATATGTAATATCAAAGCAATTACACTTGCGGTTTTTAACAAGAAGTAGAAAATATCACTTTTTACCAAAAATGACAAAAATATTCACCAAAATTAGAGAATTGAAGATATCAACATGAAATGAACAAACCTAAGAGAGGTCTACCCAAGGTACATATACACCAAGTATCAAAGCATTCAGGCTTGTAGTTTTCAAGAAGAAGTCGAAAAAGTAAAACATTGACACGGACGACGGACGACGACGACGCCGCCGGACAATCACTTGTATGATAAGCTTCGCTCGACAAAGTCGACAGCGGAGCTAAAAATGGAACAATATTAATGATTTTAAGGTACATTTGAAAACTTACTTGTTTAAGAAAGCATATAGTTTGTAATTTATCTTTCTTTGGTATTGTTTGTAGTTTTATGTCATGCATTGTTGATCAGTTATTACTGTAAATAGCGCAATACAAGTAAATATATTATTATTATTATTACTGTGAAATATTTTAGCTGAAATTAATTTTCACTGAAAAAACTTTTTGGGTGCTTTGTGTGAATTTTATTTTCAATGATTTTTGAAGAGTTGAATGTAAAATATAGGAAAAACAGTATATTCGCTGGATTTTATTTTCACTAAATCATTCTTTCAGCGAAAATAGCGAAAATAAATTTCAAGTGAAAATAAAGTATTTTACAGTATTATTATTACAGCATTTCAGCAAAAATAGCGAAAATTAATTCCAAGCCAAAATAAAGTATTTTACTGTATTATAATTACAGCAAGACAAATGTGTTGGTGTATCAATAAATGTGACACAATACTTCACTAGCGTCGTTTGGTCCAGAAAGCGTATCACTATTGCTTACGAGGGATTCACTTTGACAAACTTGGTATGCTCAAATCTACGAAGACGCCGCTAATCCAAGTCACCTGAAGTTCATAGACAAGTCTTGCTTTAAAACACCGTCTGTTAGCCGTCCATCATACGGCATGTGTGGATTTACTCAAATAAACATTTAGCCAAAAAAATGGATCACATGACAAAAAAGGACATAAGTTTTATTTGAGATACTCCTGTAATCTGTGAATCTGTTGGGGTCGGGGGTCAGGGGTCATAAACCCTTGACATAAAACAATGGATATATTAATGGGTTGTTTTTATTTAAAGCGAGAAGGTAGTCACGTGCAGGAATCGAGTCCCAATCAATGATAACACACGCTAAAAACGAAAAGGCTCATGGGTAGATGCTTGTTTATAAGCAATGACATGCTATGGCCATCTGACGCATGCGCTGGTGACGACCCCCCCCCCCCAGCTTTAATTGACAAGGGTGTCATAAAATCTGGGTTAAATATTATCCTTAATACTGTTTTATACAATAAATTTTATTTTATGATATCTCATATTTCTTCAATTATCTATATCTAGTATTCCAGCAAAGCTATGTACTGTGATTGTAAAGGGGTTAATTATTCACTGGGTTTTAATTTGGCTTATTTCGCTGACTGGAAATTGCACTAAATTAAAACCCAGTGAATATGTAAAATTTAGCATAGAACACATTATCTAAATGACAAAACCGAGAATTTAAAACTCACTGAATATGCCTGAAATGCTAAATCAGTGAAATTTAAATCCAGTGAAAATTAGTCATTTCACAGTAGTACCCTAAAAGAATAAATACAGCATTATTGAGACATAAGAATCTATCATATAACTAAAATTTCTACTCAAAGAAATACTAAACAAGACTGGCAAATGCTGCTATTACAGA